ACTTCTCAATCTGGAGAAGCAAAGGCTGTATTCCAAGGCTGTTCCGGATGTCACTATTCCGGACCATGTCCGGACGGTCAGCTGCATTCACCTCTTTTGCAAAAGTCTTTTCAGTGCAGTTCTTATTTTGGGGCGAAAACTCCATAACAAAGTCGCTGAAGATCTGCGCCGCAGGGACACAGCATTCTTTGATGAGCTACGTCTCTTGGTTCTTGTAGATTTATCAACGCGGTTGAATGCAACAATTGTCCGTCTTTTCACAAATTGCACTGGCATTTTCCACGTATGTCAAATCGCAGCCCTTGCTTCTGCCGATCACTGCATTATTAAGACCGAGTCTCGCATTTCCTAAATCCTAGGGCTGAGAAAACTCGTGCGGACAGCGGTCATAGATACGTACTCGAGTTTCCTCAAAAGAGGTGGTTGCACTGTGAGCTTAGCACAGCAGATTGGATAGTGCTGACCGATCCCGACATCAGTCACTGCATAGACTTGGTTGCAGTATTCTTGAACTCTGTCTTTGATATGTGCTATCCACGGGACGAATCTTTCTCGCAAGCTGTTATGGATCTTCTGATTAGTGACTTTGGGGTCAGCATAAAGGACAGGAGTCGAGAAGACCTGACAGAGCGGCATGTAAAGACTTCACCCTGGCGATTCTGGTCGAGATTCGACGGCTGAGGGTAGTTCGATTCAGTCTCTTAGAGTCAAAGCTGCATCGCCAACTGTAGAAGGAGTAGAGGGTTTTTTCCGAATACAGAAATCGACAGGTCCTGGTTTAAATAAATGCTGACGCCATGAATAAATTTTCCTCAAGTATAATATAGAGATCTTGCTTCGCCATTTGTCTTGGAGTTGAAGGACCTGATCAAGCATGGAGACAATATCCTGAACTGAACAGTGTTGGATCCAGAAAATGACTTCCTTCACGGCGTTAGGGCCGGACAAGAACTTTTCTGCAATGCTACGGCTCCGTGGCACGGAGCTTGGGCCGGTTCTTACAGACGTATTCAGCACATGTTTGCAATCGGAATAGCTTCCGTCCGCTGATTCCAAAGAAGACTGGAGCAACAGGCTGGAAAGATTTTTGCCGAGTTGCAGTCACCTCTTGCCTCTCTAAATATTTTGGGAGGCTGATGCTACTGTCAATCTTAAGAGCATGGGAGTCCTGCATTGATCCCTTTGTTTTAGATACTGAAACAACACCATTGATGCCGTGACCACCCTTGTTCCTGCCATGGAACAACAAATCGATCGTGCAATGCAAGTGATGTGGTCCGTGTTTTTGGACTTCTCTTCGGCCTTCAACCTATGCAGTTGCTTGCAGTCCGTCCTTTTACCAAATTATCGTTCAAAGATACTGTCAAACAACCTTGGCGTTCATCAAGGTTCGGTACTCCCGCTCATGACGCTCTCAATCAACAGCGATGAGCGCAAATTCAGCCGTCCTTCTTATGTTCGAAACGTGCAGATGGCCCCGTAGTCGTAGTCTCAATGACAAGCAAGAAAGAGTTGGCAGACTACTTTATCGAGGTCAACAAATAGGAAGGCTCAGCTAGTACTACAAACGGCCTGAAGATGAACGCTAGTAGATGTTTCGAGGGCGGGCGTCTTTATTCCTCAACATTTACGCTCTTCTTCTCGTTTGCGACTCTCCTTGACCACTGGTTAGACCATGTCCATGTGAGTACAAAAGAGCTCCTTTATGCACCTGGAAGTAGGTCTTAACCACCGGCTGACTTGAACGGTATGGCCACGTTCAGCGAATCACATCAGAGTTACGGATGGAGTCTCTCTATGTCGAAAAGCTACGACAGATGACAGCTCCAAATTGGCTTCGATGGTGTTTCTGACGCTCCCGTGTCACTCCTACGCGGCACCAGCGTTCTTCGGGGGTGACTGCTGTCCCCCGACTTCGTTACTCTGAGGCAGAGTCTTTGATCTTCCGTTAGATCTGCTGGACTTCCTTATGAGTTTGCCTTCTGAGCTATGGTTTGTGCCGTTACAAAGCAGTTCGCTAAGAAAATTCTGGATGACTCCCTCACAGCATCTGTACGATTCCCTAGCCAGTTGTCAGTCAAGAACGAAGGCGACCCGCTCAACTATGAATTGCATGTACGTTTGGACAGGGGTTTTCGGGCGATCAGTGGTACCTCACCTGATGCTGAAAGATAAATAACGACATGAATGCGAAGAGGAACTTCGTACCAGATTAAATTTGAACTGATCATTAGCTGTGCTTAAATTTTCACTTTAACTGAGAATCGGTGTTCTTGTTTGCTTGTTTTGAAGTAGACACGGCATCGAATCTCTGAAGAATAGATGGATGCTGTCTAGAAGAGCAGTAAATTTGACTTGAGCAAAAGACGGTTTGTTTTGCTAATGAATTTAGTTTAATGTGATTTGTTTTTGTTCCCGCAGCTGTAACAAGCTGAGGCGTAATCTACTAACCTAATTCCATTCGCTGTGCATAATTAACCCAAAAATGCTGGGTTGTGCTGTGGCTATAAACGTATGGATGAAATGTCTTTTTTGGGCTGCATGGTTTCTGCCTAGAGTGCCTTGAGTTTAATACCCTTCATCGCTGACAGCAACACAAAGGAAGAAAGCATTTCTTTCAGAAGCACACTAAAAGTAAAACAGTTGAATGAGGGTAAGACAGTAAAAGAGTTCCAAAAGCAAGGGATTGGCTAGCAAATTTAAGGTAGGAACCTTCAAACATCTTGAAGTTTAACTTTCTTCATGTAAAAGGAAAATCTCTTTGATGGATGCAGTTTTTCAGTCGCAAGACAGGTTGAGAATGAAGTAGATTGTTTCCCGTTGTGTGGCGATGAAACTAGAAGGAACACCTGAAAGTCATCATTACCAGTCATTTGCCATCTGCAGCTTGAAGAAGGCCTCTCGAAAACATGGCCATAAACCTTTGCTTTCTCCGATTCTTATTCATCTGGAGCCAATGAAGTTTTTCACCTCTTCGTGTCATTAATTTGGAGGTATTCCATTGGTCCTTCAACTGTGTCTTTGTACTTGGTATAATGGTCCCTCTGGTCCAGTGATGGTCGATTCTTGTTGCAACGTGTTCTGCACATAAATAGTTTGACTTTTTCACTCTTGCAATGACATCCAGATTCCTGCTTGGGCTCTAATCCATTCGTTCGTCTTCTCATTGTTTTCTGTTAACTTTCACTACGGAGTTGCGTAATTGGAAGTTTATTCATAACTTTTAAGACTAAGTGTGGAAACGCGCATTGATAGAAAAATTTCGTTTCAAGCATATGGGTATTTCAATCGTCCAAAGCTGCTCAATACCATTTTTGCTGT